AAAACAAAATTCTAAATATTTAGAGAAAGTTCAATCAGAGCCATGACATCATGATGTGAGGGTATAAATAGTAGCCACTATAAACTCCTGTTACTTAGTAAGAAGCAGTGCTATGAGGCTACAAAGTACAGTAGGTGCAGGTCCCCAGCCTGCAAATTACAGGCAGCAGGATGCCAGGACACTGATTCAATAATTAGCAACACCTGTGCCCTGTTGTGTGCCTGAAAGGATCAGGCTGTTGGATGAAAGACCAATCCAGGGGTTCAGCAGCCAAGATCTTTTTTGAGTGACACACACAGATCAAGTGGGGAAAAGCAATGCTTTATCTAAAACCATTCATACTCTCTCACACACACACACACACAGGGCAATCCACTGGTGCTCAGGTTCAGTCATGATGGCCAGTCGCAGCACCTCTGGACACAATGATCTTATGGGAGGGATGCTGGTAGTTTTTTCCCCCGAGTTGATGTGGATGGCATATGAGGTTGTCAAGGCCTGGTCTTCACTGTCCTTTTATACTTAGTTTAGGCAGACTTTGCAGGCCCTCATCCATACATACAGACTTTGCTGCAGTGCGCTTAGCTAGTCAACTTGTTGCAGTTGAGCTGGCTCTAGTCGTATACCTCATGGCTTAGACCTGCAAATGGATGGTAAGGCTTAGATATGCGGATGGGAAGGAGTTACTTAGATTTACAACATCCGGAGACAGGGAAGACACTTGGGAGGGGAGATATGCTTGCACTTTATCTTCTTGTAGATGATTTGAGTTCTTCTTAAGGCTGCTTTCTCAGTAGACCTGGGTATGCTTGATACCATATTCATTCACTCACTCATGCATTCATCTAAAATCAATTTTTGATAATATTTTCAACATATTAAGGATCTTTGCCTTAGGACTTCACTCCATTGCTCCCATACATTTTTCTTACTAAATTTGGGAGGAAGTGTAGGGGAATGGGAGGAGCTTGATTTTTCTTTGCTGTTGTTAGCAGAGTGGCATGAGCCTTCAGTAGGTATAGAAAGTATTTGAATTTGTGGGCTTCCAGAGTATAGGGTTATTATATCTGTAAAGTCTTTATATTTATTTATTTTAAATTGTAACAGATTTATCTGCCAGTATTTGAATCATAGATCCTCACTTTCTACTGCAGCTGTGGCTGTAACATACTCTTAGAGTAAAAAAACCTACAATGACAAGGCCCATCTTCATGGACAAGATAATCATGTCAGGGCATTGCAGAGTTATAACTGAGAATCTCAACATGACAGTTTTAGGATGTCAGTGGGACCTTCAAAAGGCCTTCTTCCCAGCAGGATCAGAACTGTTGCAGCTACAGCCACAATTAAACAAAATTGTTGACAACAGACTGCTAGCATTTTCACCCTGCACAGGCTTTTTGTCTGAATGTGGATTTTGAATATACTTCTGTTGACAATCAGGCTTATGGCAGATATTAGAATGAAGGCATGATTAACTTCATAATCACCCCATAAATAGTAGCTCTGCCACACATCCAAGGAATTAATGGCAGGACAAAATGAGAAAGCAACCACGAAAATATTCCATAAAAGATGTGTAACACTTTTGTGGCTGGTTTCCACCATGCCTTAAAACACATAGCAGGGTAACTGAACCAGTTTAAGATTCTGGTGTGGTCCCAGGGCTGGAACTGACAGGGCTGCAGGGACCCAGCTTGGTGCATGGCAGGAAGTATGATAGGAGGGATCAGATCCCGTTTCCCAGTATGTGCCACGGGCCCTAGAGGTATAGGTAGGGTTACCATACATTTGGATTTTCCTGGATATGTCCTCTTTTTGGGTCCTCCCATCTCCATCCTGGCATTTTTTTTTTAAATACTAGCAAATGTGCAGGATTTTGCTCTGCCTCCATTTTCCTGGCACTTCTTGGCTTGACCCAGCAAGGAAATGCTTGGGGCTGGGAGCAGTAGGGGAAGATGATTGGAGGCTGGGGCGTCACATGCTGTGTGCACGGGCCCTGGGCAGCTGCAGATAGGGGTGTGTGTGTGTGTGTGTGTGTGTGTGTGTGTGTGTGTGTCTGCCAGCGCTGGGGTGCAGCAGAGCAGGGGAAGGGGGCGGGGAGGTTCTTTGGGGGCAACAGGGAGCTGCATAGGGGGCAGGGGGCTGCGAGTCAGGAGTGAGGGGCACTGGCAGGACTGTGGGGAGCAGGGGGCTGTGGGTCAGGAGTGAGGGGTATCACTGGGGACAGGGGGGCTGCAGATTGGGAGTGAGGGGCACCAGCATAGTGAGTCAAGAGTGAGAAGTAGTATCAGGGTTGGAGGGCTGTGGCTTGGAAGTGTGGGGCAGGGCACAGGCATATCACTGCCCCCCCTCTCCAATCATAACCCCTCTGCCCTCCCTGCCTTCACCCCCCACAGGTGTCCTCTTTTTTGAAACTGGAAGGTTTCCCCAATTAGAAAAAAAAAAAAAAAAAAAAAAAAAAAAAAAATCACTAGTTTCTTTTTTCTATTTAAACAAAACAAAGCAAATCTCTGTTGGAGCATTGACTGCATTGTGTAGGTAGTCCTCCATCTTCAGAGGAGGCCTCCAAAGGTGGTGGGTGTTCCAGGGATATCCATCCTGAAAATTTGATTTGAAGCCCTTCAGTCATATGTTAAATGTGGTCGTAGGCTTTTGTGATAATTTTTCCCCCCCTACAATCCAATAGCAACTGTTAGAATTGAGATGTCCATGAAAATTATACCCGTAGTCTTATCTCATATATGGAAATTGCCTTGCCTGGCTCATGACCAGGGATCCTGTTTTTCTCTGTTTAAAAATTGCAAATTCACTGATTTTTTTTTTTTTTTTTTTTTTTAATTTTTGATTAAAACCTCTAAAATCTGCATTTTTCCACAATTAAAATAAAATGCCACTTTACATATAAGTATCAGTTGAACACAATATTTTATTCCTATATTTACAATTATAAAGAAATTTGGAAGCTTCCCAAGTGCCTCAATTATTATAATAAAATACATTCTAGATGCCTATATATTTTGGTGTTCAGTTTTGGGGTTTTTTAATCATAGAAAATCAGAGCTCCCCTTGCTCCTTTCATTCACCAGGACACTGGTGCAGCTGCGGCTGTTCCCCTCACTGCTTTGTGATACTGAGCAGCCTTGATATGCCAGTGCCCTGCCTCTGACCCTGCTGGTGCCCCTCACTTCCAACCCATAGCCCCCCATCCCTGCCACTGCCCATCGCTCCCAACCCAAAGCTCTCCACCCCGCTCAGACCTCTCAGACCTGCTGGTGCCCCTTACTTGTGACCTGCAGCTTACTGCCCACCCCCGGCCCTGCTGGAGGGAGCCCAGGGCTACAGGACTAGGGCCAGGGTCCACAGCCCCCTGCCTGCCCCAGCAGTGCCCAAGTGAGGTGGTGTCAGCAGCTGCAGCCAGAGTGGAGCACAGAGCCCATCCCCCCTCTTTCCCCTTTGCAAGTGGCACAGCTGGAGCAGAGCTCATGAGCAGGGGAGGATGCAGGTTGTCTGCTGTGGACTCCGGACTCTCCACCCTACTGCCCTTCCTTTGGGGGTCTCTGAGGCCCAGCAGGCGGGACCTGGCGCAGGAGGATAGAGTGGGCAGGGGAGGCTTGGTGTCGCAGCTGGGAGCCCCACACCAGCTATGCAGCCAGAGCAAGGCATCCCTTGACTGCCTGGCAGCAGCGGGAGTGGTGACAGGGACAAGCCACCCCCAACTCCCTCCCACGCCCCAGCCGGGCCCCATGGCCACGTATTCTCACCCAGGCCCCACGCACTGTCTCGGCTGGGCAGCATCCCCAGCCCCACTCCCCCGTTCACCATGGGGACTTCAATCTATCCCCCACCCACTCTAGACTTACCTGTGGGGAGTTGCAGGAGCTGCTCTCCACACTGCCTGACATGGACTACCACATGCATGTGTACATGCACGCATGTGCATGGTGCAGCACCCCTCAGATGGTGCTAGCTCTCAGCCTTCTCTCTTTTTTGACTAACAAAGATAATAGAGCAATTATTTGCTCAAAATAGAGCATTTTTATTTGCAAAAAAAGAGCAATTATTTGCTCTTTTTTGAGTAACAAAAAATAATAGAGCAATTCTTCTATGACAGAATTCAGGAAGACTACAACAGATAAGAATATTTTTGACACTGTAAATTCCTCTTTGAAATGCCTGGGTTCATCTTGTGAACCATGTGTATGTATTTGCCTACCTACCTGTGCTAGTATTGTGTGACACCCTGAAAGGTTCTCACTGTACCCCAGGGTGCTGTGGCACCCTAGTTGAGAATCGCTGGAAGATGTTTGCAAAAATTCCTTGAGACCAAAAGTATTTTCCATGTGTTGTTGTTATGACTTATATATACTAAATGTTTTATGTTGGTTAAAAATAAAGGAATCATTAAACTGTTTTATTACAGAAACAGTCCATCCCATTCTGTATTCAGGATGTTGAAACTAGAAGTATTATATGGTGAGCAAATTAGTTTTGCTTCGCTGTATTTAGTCAGCCATTTGTAACATACCATGTATGACTTTGGACAAGGGCAAACAGAAGGTTTAAGGCAAAGTATAGAAAATATACACAAGGCAAGGCTGCTGTTTGTTAAGGTTAAAAATGTTTGTCTTGACTGAGTTCATTTTCTTGACGTTTGTCCTTTGCCTTGGGCTGACGAGCTGTTCTATTGCTATTTTGCTCTACTGTATTGATTTATATAGTGCATGCTGTGCAGCCAGTCTCACAACAGAGCTGTAAAAAGACTGGCTTATGGAATACTAGCTGGGTGGTTTAGGAGTATCTGAAGGACTGATTTTAGGTTTAACCACTGGGAGCTGTCTCCTGGCTGAACAACTATGGAGGAATGGCTGAATGGGTGCCTTCCCCCTCCCCCCCCAAAATAAAAAAATAAAAAATCTGATTGCCTGGGAAGACACTGCTTGCCCATCCTCTCAAACCAAAGAAAGAGTATAGTGAAAGTGTAAATTGCTGTTTGTGTGATGACAACACCACTAGGAAAGGTAGGTCTGTGCCCTAAAGAACTGAAAATAAAATGCTTCATTTCTGCAATAGCATCTGTTAGTAGGTAACTTCTGCACCAAGTCCCACCAACTAGAATATATGAATATGGGGGTCTTGTATATCCCATCTGGAAGGACCTGCAAGTAGGCCTGCTTAGATGGCAGTGATAATGCTTTCTAGACCTGAGTTGTAGTCATGACTTTTGTGTTTTGGGTCAAGCCTGGTACTGACTGAAGAAAGAAGGAATGAAAATAGGGAACATGATAAGCCTCAAAAGAATACAACATAATGAAAAAACAGAACAAAAGAGGAATATTTGAAAAGCATACAAAAGCCAACTGAGAGAAAATGAAATGAGAAGAGGGAAGAAAGACTTTAAACGTTTTCATGATACAAAGGAAAGGAAGCCTAGTGGGAGCCTGGGCAGAGGGAGGGAACAGGTTTATTGTCATCTAGCAGTTGTAATGGTTGGATGCAATTTATTTTACACCTGCTCCCCACCAGTTGTTTTCATCTAATTTTCTTTGGCCAGTTGTCAAATAAGGTCTTTGTTTTGTTTCCATGTTGTGCATGGTTTCATGAACTTGGTATTCTCTGGGTATGAAGTGTGGATTCTTCATTACTCTACCTTTGCCCTTTTTTTCATTTGTTCTTTTCTTTCCTCCAGATTCCACAGGCATTCAGACAAGCTCCGTGGCAGAGTTTGGGGAGAGGCTATTCAAGGCAGTTATTAGATGCTGCAAAGGTAGGGTTAAGCAGTCTTTCCTCCCACTCTGCTTGGGCATGTGGGGGGGGGGGGGGGGGGAACAAGCCCTTGGAGCGTCTTCCAATTTGTTACATGTTTTACATCCATTGCATAATTTCCCTTTTTATCATTTCTGAGTGTTGCGAGATAAATGGGAAGTTATGTTTCTGCCTCTGGAAATGGAGAGAACCTCTGCTGAAATCCTGATATTCTTTCCCCCCTTGAGAAATCTTTTTGAATCTCTAAAAGTCAGTGGCATCATGCAGAGTTTTTCGGAAAAGCTTTTAGAAATGTAATTGTAGCTTGCTGACACTCCGATTCATCTCGGTGTTTTATATCTGACAATGTATGGAATGCTGCGCGTTGTGCATAAACCTTTATTACTCCAAAAATATGCTCAGTTTGTGAAACATCAAGAAACTTTGCATATTTACTGCTCACTCACATGGGTGCCAGTCTGCCACATGAGGCTTTTTTTTATTCTTGTTGTAAACATAAGAGAATTTTTATGAAGCTTCCTTTACTAATAATGATGCAGAAATGCATAGCATTTTAGGATGGAAAGGAAGGAAGGATGTGCATTTATTGCACACATACACCCACACTAACTTACTCACTTTTGCTCTTGTGCTTTTTCAAAATGCTGTTAAGTGGTTTAACAAACTTGTTTTTTTCTGTGAGACTTAGGCACACTTAAGTGCTTTGGTAACTTTAGTATTAAAGTGCATATAGTACATGAAAGAAATGAGATTTTGAGTTAAGGACTCCTGAATTCTAATATTAAATCATGCTACATTTTAAAATAGTTATATATGAGATCCCCTAATAGAGCCTGATCATAGTTCTCAGTTTTAGATGGTCTAACACTTTCATTATTACTGATTTTTTTGCTACATTTTTTGAGAACTCTTATTGCTTCCATCGTTTGCAGCAGACCTGAATGTGGAGTAAGCCCTGAACTAGTCAAGTCAGATAAATAATAAAAAATAAATGAATTATAAATTATCTTCCCCTTCTTTTATTTGCATTAATAAGGAAGATTTTTAGTAGAAATTCCCCAAAAGTCCAACTTTTGTGCCACCACAGCAGCATCATATACTGTCCTGGAAATACCTGAGAAGAGCAACAGGCCAGGCCTGGTTGACCTTCTCTGGAGTCCATCCTTGCATCTGGCCCAGGTATTCTGCAAGTGCCTCCTGGGACAGGATTTCCCCAGCCTTTGGTGTGGAGCTGGGGGCAACGCTCTGCCTCCTGGAGTAATGGATTGCTTATGCTGCTTGTAATTTAATTATTCCTGTAGTTTGAGACCCAGAAATTTGTGCTGCCATGCTTAAATGTCAAGATTGAACCTGTGCTGTTGATGAAGAGATTATGGTTACAGCTTCTGACAACATTATTGAACCATTTTCCACAGGATCCCTGGCTCATTTTTGCAGAGATTGGACACAGAATTAAGTTTGCATAGGCAACTTTCCCTGTCATTTCCTCTGTCCTGCCTCTGCTGTTGACTTCCTTCCCTGACTTACAGGTGAAGTCACTGCTTAGCTCAGTTTCTCCATCTGCAGTGTGGGGATAATAATTTAATAAAAAAACTTACCTGTCTCAGGATGTTATAGATTAATGTTTTGACTTGAAAGCATTTATAGAGCTCTGAAAAAGTGCCCTTATTATAGTTGCTAAATGGCTCACAGCATTCCAGTGCAACACAGTGATGTTAAGCACCTCACTGAAAGTCCTGTTGCATTTTGAAAAGGGAGTTCGGAAGAATGGCATTTTTTTCTCACCCAGCAAGGGAAAATAACTGTAGCTGAAAAATAATAATAAAAAATGCTTCTAGATGATTTAGAAGCTTGGCAGCTTCCATGTTAAATTTAACATGCAATTAAACTGTGACCACTGAGAACTATAACCTGTTTGTAATTTTCTTGATATTAGGCTTCTATAAAAATATCTTTAAATGACATGGTGGACATTGTTTGGCTTGTACATAAAGGTGAATTCTAATTGCCTCTTTTGCTGTGAGCTGAAAGACTAGCTAGATGATTTTTTTTCTCTTGCATATAAAAGCTCTGTGAGCCAGCATAACCTCTTAGTTACACCTGTCAGTGTCCTTTTTTTGGTCATGTTCTCTGGTTACACCTGTTCCTGCTGTTACCTGTAAACCTTATAAATTATTGAGCATAATTGTTGCTTTTCACAAGAAGGAATAGAACACATCTCACTTGCTCTTAAACCTTGTCTAAAGACGAAAGTTGTAGTAATTTAATTTGTCATTTTAGAGAATCTGTTTAGTTAAACTGGTGCACACCCTGTGAGCACCCATGTATTTGGTTTACATCTGGCTTTTATTGATTTAGTTTTTCAGTAAGCAACTGTCTTGAGTAAAATCAATGTAAGTCAGTTATAAGCTAAAGTGAGTACGTCGTCCAGGTGCTCACATGTGCCTAATTGAATCTGTATGCGTAGAAAATAGATCTAACTAATAAGGTGATACTTCTTACATTTGTTTTCAGAGTTGAACTATATTCAAAGAATTTAGAGTTCTTTCCTATAACCCTTCACCTATCTTTGCTGTAAGATACCATTAACATTTATGCTACAAGATATGATGCCTTCTCGTACTGACTTTTAAGAGCAAGATGCTATTCTTGGAATGTAATCTCCATTCCTTTTATGATAACACTTTGCTGCTGTCCTTTTGCCATGATTGTTGCATTGAAGTTAGAGATTAACTTTTGCACACCTTTTTTTAAGATATGATTCTTGAAGTCACTGTATAATTTTTTTTCTTTTTCACACAGCATCTCCCAAAGTGGCCACATACAGAAAAGAGAACATGTTGGCATGGTCATGCAGGTGGAGGACTCCACACAAATCCAAAGGAAGGGGTAAAAGCTTGATTAGACAGTATTATTCAGAGTATCTGAATAAATAAAAACACATTCAATTTTTTAAAGACTTAAGCAACTGAAAAAACCACAAATTGTCTTCACAGATTAGACTTCAATCTAGTCTAATTAATAATGTTAATTGTGAATTTTGGCTTACTAGCTGTTAAACTACTAGGACTGCTCAATACATTTTTTTACTAGTTAAGTTTTTTATTTAAAAAAAAAAAGAAGGGTCACATGTTGACTTGAAATCTACCTCTCTGGTATTTTAGTCTTTCATGATAAATATGTTCCATTATAAATTAATAGGTTGTTTTATTTCTGTCGGTCAGTGGCATTTCTAAGACTTGACATTTGAGGTGGCAGAAATTTGCTTGTGGATATGAGTTAGTGGAACAGTCACTCCACCTACATTCAGTACAGGAATAAAAATAAACTTGGTAGTTTATAAATTGACTATAACTTTGATTTAATTTCTTAAGATGTTAATGCATACAGTGGTGTGCTAGCAGTTATGAACAAAAAAAATCCTTAGTGTTGAAAGAATATTTTTAAAATTGCAAAGTCAAGCTCTCATAAGGTAGGACTGCATAGAATTAAGTTGTACATGCAAATCTAATTCTCTTGTGCATTTTGCATGTTGATATGTAATCTTTAGCTATGTGATCATCACCTGCCAGGTTTTTGGGCGGGGGGGCCCTGTAGGGGAAAAAAAATGTGATCACATCACTAATAGGTGTATCATGAAGCACAAGTAGGATAAATTAAGGTTTGTAAACAGTCTTTAATTCTGGAATTTCCTAACATCCAAGTACTTGACTTTTGCCACCCTTCGTGTGTGTGCGTGCGTGTGGTTTTCCCCCCAAGTTTATTAGCAAAAGTCTAGCAAATCTGATCATGTGTGTCATGTTGACAGCTATGTGGTTCATTAGCAAGGATGGAAACTTCAAGCCCACCTTACAGACCTCTTCCCCCTTAGGCAGACAGAATAGCTGATGAAGGTGATAGACCATTCTCTCCATAGACCACTACTAGAAGACGAAGCAGGCTTTGCCAGGAAGTACAAGAATCTTGGTCTTGTTCCAAACACCAGATGGGAGTGCTGCTGAAGATACAGACCGTTTTGCCTGTTTCTTCCCTAGCATGCTTTCAACTTGATCCCTTCTGTCCCCTCCATCCTGCCTTTTTTTCCTCTTTCTTCTTACGTGTTCCATTCCGAGTCCCGTTCTTCTGGAGTTTCTTGTCCCGGTCTTCTTGCTCAGTAAGACAATGTTTTCACATCCTATTGTCCCAGCTAATCCCATTTTTCTCTTCCTCCACACCTCCCCATCTGTCTGCCAGACCCCTTGGCATGATCTACTCCTTTTTCCTCAGACTGGGTCATCTTTTGTCCCTTTGTATTTGAATTGCGTTGCTTCCTCATCCAAGTTTTCTGGATATCAACAAGGTGTAATGCTGAGCAGCTGAGAACAAGTACAGGAAGTGTTGCTTAACCTCTTTAGTCCTGAATGGGAGAGAGCTTGCTCTTGCTCCCTAGGGATTTGTGCATGTACAGACCAGTGGCATGTAGAGGCTGTGAGGAGATGAAGCATGAGAATGGCTTTACATGCTCTGTGAGGATGAAATCTAAAGTTTCCATCTCCTTGTCACTCCAGTAAATATGCTCCCATTGCTTCCAGTACTATAACTTTTATTTTCTTGACTATATTAGTCAACTGTTTGTTAAGGCTTGAAATTTGTTTTTCCAGAATTCCATGGAAAAAAGCTGCAGTCCTGGTATGTTTCACATGGAAATTCATTTCACATACTCACCTTTATAATTGACATTTTAAATCCACCACTGGTGGAGGCTGATAGGCTGCTTCTTGAAATGCAAACCTTTTTCAGCTGAAATGCTTGGACATGTAAATGTCATTTGTCCTGAAAGCTTAGTAACACTTAGTCCTGACACTTCTTGTAAATAATCACGGGGAAGGAAATCTACAAATACCAACAGGTTTGAAGTAGCCTAAAAATTATATTCCAGGCTGACTGGTTCAGTCCAGAAAAGAGATTGCAAATTCCATTTACTAGGATGCAGAAATATTAAGAGTGTGGATTCTGCCTTCAAATTGGTTAGGAATGTTCTAACCAGAGTTTTGGCAAGCACTTTTTTTTTTTTAAGTTGACCTAAAATGGCATTTAAATACTTAAATTAAATATTTAAGTAGGAACTCTCTTTTTTTAATGAGTAACTTGTGTTTTTTCCTTTGTAAGACAATTCCATGAATGCTTATATTTCAGTAAATACAGATTAATGCAACCACACCAAGAATAGTTAGCTTGGCCTCTCTCAAAGAAATGCTCATTATTAGGTTGTTGGGGAAAATAACAGAAATTAGCAACAGGCTACACAGAGTGGGTTAAAAGTGAAGGCCAAGAGTAAGACTCAGTGTATCAATCGCAACAGTTGGGCAAAGGAGTAGATAGGCCACCTCTCTGCTTCCTGAAAGCAGCTGGGTCTAGTTTGTCTATTGCAACCCAGTGTGCTAAAATTAGGGCTTTTGGCTATTCTGATTTCTGTACATTGGTAAACTAGTTTAGGGATGGCGCTCAATGCACAAACATCCCTGACTTTGTCTGGGAAATGCAGCTTGCTGTCACCTGAGGATTTTTGTAGGCTAGGGAAAACTGCAGCTGACCACATATGCCTACGTTCTAACTGCAACTGCTGGAAGTGGTATCTGACCCTCTTTCTTTCCATCTGCACAGTGGAGACTGCATTAACTTTTTTTGCAGTATGCTTCATCAGAAGAGAGCTGTTCTGGTGGTTTTCCCAGAGTTTGTATTCTAATCTCCTATACACTAGGTTTACAGAAGTTAACATTCATTTTATGCAAGTGTTAAGACTTTTGTTTAAAACAAAGTAAATGCTTTGCCCCTTCATAGGATATGGAAATAGTTCTTAAACTTGAGCAAAGCAAAAATATACTATGTATAAAATGTGTGCAGCATAGCCAACAAAACAGACACACAGGCAGAAGTGCCCATTCTTGTCACATCCCCTCCTGGTCCAACCCTGCATGCTCTTCCTGGAAACAAGGCGCACACATCTATTTCTGGGAGGAGCATGCAGGATTGAACTGAGAGTCTGTGGCAAGAGTGGGAGCTCCTGTGTGTTCTAGGTTTATCAGATAACCCTAATGTAGTAGCCACAGCCCTTCCCAGTCCAGCTCTGCGGAGGGCACACAGGGTAGTTTCACCCTGTTGCAGTGATGGGGGCACCTGTGCTGCAGCACCCCTGAAAGGCTCTCACAGCACCTTGGTTAAGAACCTTGGGAGTAAATTTTTTGGTTTTGTAACCTTTCAGAACCCTCCCAAAGCCTTTCCTAGTTTTTTTTACCTTTTATTTCTTTTGGGTTTGTCCTCTTAACAGTTTTTTCCTATACAGTCTGACTAGGCAATAGCAACATACAACTCTCCAATAACTCTGGTAGCTTTTATGTTAATATGGCACCGGCTTTTTACTTCCTTTTAACCAGGGATCCTGGTTTTCTCTGTTTAAACATTCAAAATTCTTTGATTAAGACCCCCAGAATCTGTGTTTATTAAAATGAAATACTGCATGTGTCAGTTGAACACAGTGTTTTATTGTTATATTTACAATTTTAAAGCAATTTGAAAGCCTACCAGTGCCTCTGTCGTTATAATAAAATAAATTCTGAATACCTATATATTTTTGCATTTGATTTTGGTATTTTTACCATAGAAAATCAGAGCTCCCCCTGCCGCCTTCGCTCACCCGGATGCAGGTCTAGCTACAGCTGTCCTCCTGCTGCTTTGAGGCACTGGGAAGCTCTGATATGTCAGTGCTCATCACTCCCAAGCCACAGCTTCCCTCCCTCCCAGCCTCCCAGCCCTGCTAGTGCCCCTCACTCCCAACTCACAGCCTCCTGCACTCTCAGCCTTGCTGGTGTTCCTCACTCATGACCTGCTGCCCCCAGATCCTAGCTCCCCATGCTGCATCAATCTGCCCCCCTCTGTGTGACCTATGTCCCCCCTCCCATAGACTTGCTCACAGGCAGCTGGGAGAGCTGCTCTTCACCACACTGCTTGGGGATACATTGCTGTCCATGTGCACACATGTACATGGTGCTCCCCGTGTCCAGTTGCCATCCTCCCACTCCCCTCAACCCAAAGCAGCTCCTTGCAGGCTGGAACTCTGCCAGCCTGCAAGGGGAAACCCGTGATTTCCTGCATTTTTCTCCTTTTGAAGGAGAAAGTCTCTGTTTTTCCATTGCAAATGGAAAACCTGAATCTCTGTTTCTAACGCATGAATAGTGCTCAGGAAAAATCTCTTCCAGCTGTTTAGATTATGAGACTATTTATGCATATTCTTGGCTCAAAGGGAAAGATTCATGCACATGTTGCTGGAAATAATGTCTCTCTTCTGTGTAGCTAGGGATAAGCGGAAATATGTTGTTTTTGCACCCACTGCTGACTTATGAATCATAAGCTTATCCATTTTCTAAACGCTATGTGAAGAGTACTTCTTATTTACACTGCTCAGACACATTCACAGTTGTTGACAGTACATACAGTATCTTATTAACTTTTATACTCTTGTTCTTTGAAGATGAGATTAGAAACACAAAAGAACCTGCTTTTTCTGTGCACTTATAAGCTTAAATTTGTCATATTTGTTTCTCTTGTTGTTTTAAGAGCCTTTTCCCTTCAAAACAAACTACTTTTTTCCCCTTTGGTTCTAACTTAGCTTTAACAGTGAATTTTAAATTGAACTTACATCTTTCTCCTGAAATTGGGGAAGGTACATGAGATTCCCTACTGTGGGGAACATGAAAATGTTGAAACATCCATCTGTTTTCATGGACTCCTTTTTAATGAAAATTCATCTTGAAAAGGGCAAACTTCTTTTCCACCAAGCATTGCTTGAAATGAAGAGATTAGCACACATGGGTGATGGGTAATTCAGTCTACTTGCTAGTTGCTGGCCTCCCTTCAGCTTTAGATAACCTTTCTGTCTTTCAAGATTACCCTTGGGTGTCCAGCATTGAAGAATGAGTTGTTGGTAGCTTTGCAGTGCAGTGCGGTGTGTTTATATTATTCCTAACTGATATGTATTTTTAATGACTTCATACAGCAAGTAGACTTTGCTTTGGAATTCAAAAAGCAAAATTTCTCTGCTTCTGTTACTAATCTATTCCCCTATAACACCAGGTACTTTTTCAAAAGGGTTTGCATTGGAATATTGGATTTGGTTTTGGCCTTAGTTGAGAGAGAAAAGTAGGAAGATATGAAATAAAAACAAAAACTTTATAGAACTATTTAAGCTAAATTGTAGCCATGTACTTTGGAGCTAGCTTAATGGACTCATAATGCATGATTACCCAAATTCAGAACCACTTCTGTTAAATGAAATGGTGACATTTTATGCACAATTAAGCGAACTAGAACAGTTTTCTTGCTCTTAGCCATAACTTCGCTGTGTGTACATTGAAAGAATCCCACTATACACTGTAGAATGTCCTGAAAGAAATGGTAGAACAAGGTTCATTGCTATTCTGTTAGGGAAAAAATGTGGCATGAAGCTTGTTTAAATGATTAAGTTTTAAAAACATTTCAGTTTGATGCATCTACATCATTGCTTTTGAACTCTCGTAATTTAAACTTGTCAAGCAATTTCACAGATACAATTATATCACATTTAGGAGTTCTTATAATCTTAGAAACTGATCTGTAGAAACCTGTATGTTCTTTATTAATAAATGCATTTAATACTCCTAACTTTCGTTTCCTGCACTCCATCCAAATCTCTTTTGCCACACAGTTTTGGTTTCCTTCTGCTCTTCACTTGACTTCTTCCAAACTGCTACATGTACTTGAAATGGCTTCCTGCGAGAGATGAAATATAGGAGCTTTTTACATACAAGCTAGGAAAAACTACCTGTTCCATTTATTATCTCAGCTGGCTAAATGTTTATCTTTCTTGTTTTGCATCTCCTTATATATTTGACACATGCATTTCCTTTAATGGCTACAAGAAATTTATAATAATATCACCTTTGGAAAAATAGGAACATAGGAATTGCCTGACTGCATCAGATCTGTTGACCATCTAGTCCAGGGGCCAGCAGCAGATACTTCACAGGAAGTTGAAATTGCGGTGTAAATTGTCCCATCCCCGCTTAGCTGACCTCTGTTTTGATATCATCTTATCACCTAATAGGTTAAATTGTCTTAACTTCCTGTTCTGTGATTTGTATCCACTCCAAAACGTTTCCTTGTATTACTCCAAAGCTCTGTTGAATCTTGCCAGGTTCTTTGCCTCAATGGCATCCTCTGGCAACAAATTCCACGGTGTAATCAGACACAGAGTGAAATAGTATTCCTGTTATCAAATTTGAAATTGTTCCATGTCAGTTTCATTGAATGTCCCCTTATTCTTCTATTATGAGACCAGGAGAACTAATAAAATGGTAATGGAAAATAGATCATTTGAGTCTGAACCTCTTAACAACATTTAAGAGATGTTACTAGGGGTCCACTGAATGAGATTTTTTGGGGCCAATACCAATCCGATTCCAATATGCAGTCCCACAGTGTGGAAAGTGGCATCTGGCTGGTATGTCTGTTGTGGGGGATGGGGTGGGGGGGTGCAGGTTGAGGCCCCTGCGGTGAGGGAGGGAGTTGGGCCTGGGCTGGGGCTGGGGCTGGGCCAGGCGCAGGGGCAGGGGCAAGTGCTGCCCAACTGGGGTGGGGCAGGGCACGGGACAGACCCATGGCTTGTCCAGGGGGCATGGGGAGGAGGGTGGTGGCTCCTGCTGCTGCATACACCCTGGGAGGCGGGGGGGTCATGTACCCCCAGATCTATGCGGGGCAGGGTGGGCTGCTACTGTGGGCTGGGGCCAGGGCTGCGCTGGGCTCTTCTTGTTGGGGGGGGCTCCATCCCATGTCCCACCCCAGCCACATTCTCACTTCCTCCCTCACCACAGGGGCCTTGATCTGCACTTTCCAACGTCTCTCCTTCCCCCCACAACAGACGAACCAGCTGGACCCGGCTGCTCTCCATGCTGCCGGGCTGTATTCCTGGCCGCCTGCATGCTGCTGTGTGGCTGCATGTATGCACGTGGCATTTATTGGCCATATCAGATTTAAAAAAACAAAACCCAATTGCTAATACTCTCAATTTTCCTCATATTGGTGCTGATCCTATATGGGACAGATATATCAGTGCACCTCTAGATGTTACCCTATTCAGAAGTCTAGAAGTTATTGCAAATGATATGAAATTATGATGGCCAGTTTATAATTTGTAAGTCTCAGGTGGTTAAGAAAGAAATTTTAATTTTTTCTGCTTGCATCTTATAAGTAATACTTTTAGTTAAAGGCCTAATTATTGATTTGTAACTTTCTTTTTTAAAAATGAACTCTTAGTCCCAAAAATAATCCTGCCTTAGACTTTGTGGGATTTATAGAGTAATTTATTTTAGATTAAAGAACTAGTTTATGAATCTACAGACCTTTCCCCTCATTCTTCCTGTGCTTTATGTATCTTTATTTCCTTTATGCTTCTATTGGTCTTGGGTGTAGTCCTGTATGCAGTAAGAAAATATACTAAAGTTTCTTAATGAATTCAGATTTTGAACATTTTGAATAAATTTGGTTTTGTTTTAATGAAATTTGCCTTGGATTTATACTTTGTTTCTTCCACTTTAATATCCTAATAAGATGTGTATCTCTCTCTTTTTTTCCTTTCCAATAATAGCTGAAGGAGGTAGATGCCAAGAAAATTATCAAAGCAATGTTATCATACGTGTGGCCCAAAGATAGACCAGACCTACGAGCAAGAGTAGCCATATCTCTAGGATTTTTGGCAAGTGCAAAGGTAAGAACTGTTACTCAGTTGTATTGGTGTCATTGCTGAGTCAGAGGTGGAACTCTAGTGTCCCTATGCAGTTCGTGGTCAGCTGCCAGAAAAGGGGCTCTCAGGCATAGGTGTCTCTCTTTTTTTTTCTTTTTTTTTGGTTATGAGATGCTATTAAAACTTTTGGAGTCTGGGGTATTCCTGGTGCTGTAGAAAAAGAAAAAGGGAAAAATAGCTTCATTTGTACCAGATAGTGTAGTCCTGTGTTTTTAGCAATCACTGTACTATCCTTTATTTAAACAAAAGTTCAAAAGCAGAAGAGCAGCGTTCAGCTCTGTTACAAGGCAGAAGTAATGGTTTTGCATTTATTTTGCTTTTAGTCTCTGAAAGAATCCTTTTTGTTCCAACCTGTAGTAAATTTGTGTTGACCCATTCCCAGGCACTTGGAGGAAAACAGGCTCGCAATAAATTTCTACATATTGTTAAAGGAAGGACAGAGTAGGAGTAATATAGAGGAACAAGTGGTTATTCTCTTTATGTACAGATGCTTTTACCTTGGAAAACAAGCGCACACAAAATCTGTGACTGCAAGGTGCTGCAGAGCAAATTCTTGTTCTTTCACTGAAACCAGAGTCTCAAACTATTTACCTACTGACTGTGAGCATATTATACAGAAGTTAAAATTAGATTTCCACTGGGATAAGCTAGCTTCTTGCAAATGGAGTTAAAGAAAGAGGGTTTTTCTGTGGAGAAAGTCTGTCCTGGCAAGAAAACAGCTTCAGTACTGAAAGCAGTTGAATAATGTATCAGCTTATTGGCATTCAGCAACAATATGGAAGTTGGGAGGAAGAAACAAAATAGAGCCACAGAGGTGATGAAAGGAGGGTACTTTGAAGAGAGATGTTTGTTTTGAGCTCAAGTGGAAAGACCAGTTTTTGGCTTGCAGCTCTTTGTGCTACCATTAATCTCTCTTAAATGGATAGTATGGATATGTTCTCAACAGATATTCTTTCTTTTTCAATGTCGTGCAGGAAGCTTATGATAACCCAACTAACGGTATACAAGCTGGCAAATATATGCCGTTGAGACTTCACCTTCTTCAGCTTTTCATATTTGTACCTCTGAATCCAGTAAACAGTATTCCCAATCTGCTCAAAATCTAGGAGCCACAAAGGGCTGAAGATAAAATTACACAGGTGCTTGCATGTTGTATTTACCTAGTACTCATGGAAATTTAGGTCTTTGATTGTTGTGTGTCTAATATGAATGCTCTTCTTATGCCTGGCAGCAAATCCAAAAATTCAGCCTGAAGAGGGCTGTTTTTAAAAGCAGTCTGAAGTATTCTTTGCCATCAAAGGCAGAAATGTACCACTTCAGTGGAAGGTTAGATTCCTGAGTCTGCTTCTACATGGTTCTGCAAGAGGGCCTTCAGTCTGTATTAAGGGATGCTACAGGTAGTGACTTGGGATGTAGTAAAATGAGATTGAAGGCCAGCATGCTTTACTACCATAAATAGGTCTGTATTAGACACCCTTCTTCTTAAGCCCAAGTCTGCACCCAGCATATAGTTCACAAACTGCTCTTTGCTCCATTTATACCAAATCACAGTAATGGTGATGCACTCGAGATCCTGTTGGGTTTTTTCCTTTCCTTTCCCTGCATTATTTCCACGTATCCTACTTACTTGAATTGAAGGTGAGGTTTCTAAAGTGGTGGTAGAGGATGTAGGTGCAGGGTAGGTGCCAGGGGATGCAGCAATCACAGGGGGATGCAGGTGTTGGGAGAGTGGGGGACGAAGGGGCAAATACTAGGGGGACAAGCAGGCTAGGCTGCAGAAGAGGGGGAAGGTGGCAGTGGAGCAGGTCTGGGGTGTGCAGCCACCGTGGGGGGAGGGGCAAGCCACTTGATAGGGGTGTGCGAAGCTTCGGTCGCCTGTTCAATTCACAGAAGATTCAGCCCAATTCAGAGACTGAATCCGAATCAAATCAGGAAACCAAAAAAAACCTGGAGCCTCCTAATCGATTTGGAAAAGATTCAGAAAAAGATTTGGAAGGCAGTCTTTTAGGGGAACAGAAACTTGAGAAGAGGGAGGGGGAGCAGGGCGGGAAAGACTGACATCTGTAGCTGGCCAGTGACTGTGATCTTTCCCTGATTCTCCTTCCAGTCACAGTGCTCTGGGGGAGGGATGTAGAAACAACACATAAGCCTGTCTGCAGCCTTTCTGCGCCTTTTGTGAGCTGTTCCTACCTGAGCATCGGGAAGGCCCCCTGTTACAGATTACCATCCCTGCTGTTTGCATGCAAATCTGCCAAAAACTGTCAAAGTTATAAGCATTTCAGTGATTTCCCATTACAGTCTATGGCCGAATCACCGAATCTTTCCAAATCAGTGCCAAATCTTCCGAAGGTGATTCAGCTGAATCAATTCGGGACAGTGATTCAGATCTCTGAATTGAATCGCTGTCCTCCGAATCGGCCAGATCCGAATCAAATACTTCCCTATTTGCACAGGCCTACCATCGACTTTGCTACCCACTGGCGTTGTCCTACGCTTGCCTTGCTGCAGTGGTAGGAGGTGGAGGGGGTACAAATTTAAGATCACCTCTCCAAAGCTAGACTCTGGACATGGGAAATTATATTGCATTCATACGTTTTTCCATCTAGAATGTAATTATTGGTGGGGGGGGGAATCTTAAATTCAAAGTTATCTTGGATTTGGGTAAATGTGGTGTATTGCTTTTTTCAACATCTGAAACAAACTGAGGCAGACTAACAAGAAGCTGTTTTTCACAAGTGAGAGCGACTTCCAAGTAGAGAGAAAATGTTGGGTTTACCAGTTCTTCTAAGGTTTTGGTTTGTTTTCTCCTTTCCAGAGAGGGAAGATGCTCTTTGTTTCCTTTTCGGTCACTAAAGCCTCACAGCTGTTTTTTGACTATGGGGTTAGCAGTACATGTTTGTTTCTGAACAGAAAGTAGTATTCCAAACGGTATTTCTTGGTCACTGATCATATTGGATTAATTGCATGGTTTTACTGGTTTCTGGCGTCATATGAAAACAGAATTAAAGCTGGTTAACATTTTAAAAATTCCAAAACCTGCTTTGGAAAAGATCAGTATGTTTCCATTCTGTTTTTCAAAGCAAAATGGTACAGCTAGGCTCATACCAGTATGGCCATGCAGCAGAAAGGGTGGAAGATCTGGAGTCAGTGGTTAATATGCAGGACAGAACTGTACTGGAGCTGCAGGCCCTCGGGTTTTCCAGCAGCCTGTCAGG